ACCGGGGCCCCAAGGCCACCATGAAGAAGGAAGTGTGCTCAGTGGCCTTCTTCAAGGCTGTGTTCGCGGAGTTCCTGGCCACCCTCATCTTCGTCTTCTTTGGCCTGGGCTCGGCCCTCAAGTGGCCCTCTGCCCTGCCCTCCATTCTGCAAATCTCCATCGCCTTTGGCCTGGCCATAGGTACCCTGGCTCAAGCTCTGGGACCTGTGAGCGGTGGCCACATCAATCCAGCCATAACTCTGGCCCTCTTAGTAGGCAACCAGATCTCGCTGCTCCGAGCTGTCTTCTACGTGGCAGCCCAGCTGGTGGGCGCCATTGCTGGGGCAGGCCTCCTCTACTGGTTGGCGCCAACCAATGCCCGGGGTAACCTGGCTGTCAATGCGGTGAGTGCCCACCAGACTATGAGGGGGTGGGCAGAGACCCTGGAGACATTTAAGACCAGACTCTCCATGCTCCTCCATCTTCAGAATGGGTACAACCAAAACGCAGGTGCACAACTTTACCAGGAAAAGCAGGCCTACCAGCCTCCCGGCCAACCTGTGTGCTCCTGTCCCAGCTTCTCAGATTCTACTTCATCTGCCCCTTCCTCTTATACTGCTCCACCTAGCCTTACTCCCCATGGCTGCCGAAACAGCCCTTCGGCTTCTAGGCTCACCTATGAGTTCTTTCTTGTCATCCCCTTGCTCCAGCACTTTTAATGAACCTATCAAAGAGCCATGGATCATGACCGTGGTCTGTGGTAACCCTCATCTCCCTGAGCTTCCATTACATGGAGGCGTCATAGCACAGCAAGTGTTATAGGGATTACACTTAGAAGCTGAGATGTGACACCCCCCAAAGTACCAGCTCCCCCCTTTGTAACTCCTGCTCCTGCCCCCTGCTGTCTCCCCATTTTTGCAGCCCTAGATTCAGCCCCCTGTCCCATGTGAACTGGGTTCATTAATCAAACACAGAGGAGGATTTTCTCGGCCATTGTCAAGCCGTGAGTCAGCCACACTGGAGAGACGGGTTTGAGGTTGGCACCAGCAGCGGGTCAGGCACGGATAGGAGGCCAGGGGCTGTTTGCAGTAGGCAAACTGGGCAGCTGCCCACAGGAGGGAGGGTAAATGCCAGCTTGTGGGGGCTGGGGATTGGGCAGAGCCGTTGACACGATGGCACCCAGGAAAACTCGCTGACACCCTGCCCTCTGGCTACAGGCCTGAGCTTCAAGCCTGTGCACACTGAAGTACATACAGTTTCTCCAACAAATGGCTGTCTGGTTCATGCACAGGACTTGGCTTCCAAGAGCTCAGGCTCTAGGTGTCCTTGAAGGCCAGACCCTCACTACACTAACCCTGTCACAGAACCTGAAGGCAGCTTTCCCTTGTAGCTCAGCAACAGCACAACACCAGGCAAGGCCATGGTGGTGGAGTTAATCCTGACCTTCCAGCTGGCACTATGCATCTTCTCCTCCACTGATGCCCGCCGAACCAGCCCCGTGGGCTCCCCAGCATTGTCCATCGGCCTGTCTGTCACACTAGGCCATCTTGTGGGGGTGAGTAGTGCTGACACAAGCTGGGTATCATGGAGAAAAGTCACGCAGGATGAATAGTAGAGCCCTAGAACAGTGTCTCCTGAGAAGGCTAAGACCTGGTAGAGGATAAGGCCTGGTCTCGAGGCTTCTGAGCTTATTGGACTGTAGGTTTGCCCCCTGCCCCCAAAGAAGCCTCTCTGGGCTGAGAAACAATGGGAATGAGTAGAAGGGAGGGTGAGTTGAGAGAACCAAGCCCAAGTAGAGGCGAAGAAGCAAAGAGGGCATGGTTGGGAGTACATGGTTTGATCAACAGCTGGGCTGCAGCATGGACAGAGTCAGCAGCCTAGGAACTGGGAAAACCTGACTTGGAGATGTCGGTGGTCCCTGCACTGTGTGACCCTGAGAGAGTCAGAATTCTGTGGGAGGGGAAGGGATGGTGCTCTCCTCACTGTGACCCCCCATCTATCCAGATCTACTTCACCGGCTGCTCCATGAACCCAGCCCGATCTTTCGGCCCAGCGGTGGTCATGGATCGGTTCAGCCCCTCTCACTGGGTGAGTGTGGGCCTCCCCTGGCTCCCTAACAAGTGCTGAAAACACAGTGGACTGAACTGGACTTTCTGGATGTTGTGGGCCCAGAACTTGGGGGTTTAAAGGAGCAGGGAACACAGAAGGGACTGAAATGCAGCCAGAAGGGAGGGGTGGAGTGAGCAGGCATGTGTGTTGATCTCCTCTGAGGATTTTGTCTGTCTCTCTGTGCATCTGTCCTCTAATGTTGCCCCAGTGGAGATATTGGGAGTGTGTCTTTCTGGGACTGTCCCTCTGGACAGTGTGTTGTGTTCACATGTCAGCCAGGTTTGGAGCACCAAAAAGGGTGCTGGGGCTTCATCAGGGGAACGCTGGCTCAGCTCTGCTCTGCAGAAGACGCAGCGCTGGGGGTGGGAGGTGGGGGCTCTGTTTGTCTCCTCAGAAGGTTCACTTGCCTCTCTTTCAAGTGGGATGAGGAAGCCTGTCTGATCTGGGCTCTGCCTACCTTCTTGAAGGGTCTGTGAGTCTGTGATCCATGACTTTGTCATCAAGAACTGGCTGACAGTATCAGTCCTCACGATGGGAAGACATCTTTCCCTCTGGAGACCTGCAAGTCTTCACGTCCACTTCCTTTCAGAGTCCATGTACTGTGTTCTGATGAGGAAGGCCATGAGCCCTGGGCTCAGCTTCTGACTTTAACCCTGTCTTCACAGGTCTTCTGGGTGGGGCCGATTGTGGGAGCCATCCTGGCTGCCATCCTCTACTTCTACTTGCTCTTCCCCTCCTCCCTGAGCCTGAGCGACCGAGTGGCTGTTGTTAAAGGCACATATGAGCCGGAGGAGGACTGGGAAGAGCACCGGGAGGAGCGGAAGAAGTCCATAGAGCTGACAGCACACTGACCAGCACCAGGCAGGGGCCAGTCCCTCAGTCCCTGAATTGCTGGAGAAGAAAACCAGACCTCAGAGCATCTTTCCCTAATGGTCCTCTTGGTGGGGAAGAGACATTGGACCCATGCTGAAGATAGAGATGGAAGCAGAAGCCCACAATGGGACACTCGGGTGGGGGCCAGGGGCTGGAGTCTGACAGGGACAGGGTCTCTTCTGGAACAGGCAGAATGAATGCCACAGGTCAGACCTCAGCGATTGTGAACGCAGTGCCAAGCTCACAGACTGCCCAGGACCACACCAGAAAAGGGAGGCAGCAGCCTGCTTATCTCATCCAACCCAACCTCTCATGTGCCCAAGCCAGCCCTCAGGTGGGCAGAGTGGACACTGCCCCAGAGCCCAAGCAGAAGGACATATGGTTTATTGAATGCCATCTTATTTATTTTTGGTCAAGGATGGGGTGGGGGCTGCTGGTGTTTGGGTTGGGTGCTTTTGTTTCCCAATAAACCATCAATCTTCATATTCTGCTGTCATCACCCTCTAGTAACTCTTGGGACAACAGCCAGTCATGTCTCTCCTTTGTGATGCCACACCCTCAGACTTGCTTATCAGAGGGTACAAAACCCGAGACAAGTCCTCCAGAATGAAAAGGAAACTGAGGCTAAAGGAGGCGTAGAGGACCAGAGAGCTGGAGGGTGGCAAAAGCAAATGTAGAAACAGAAAAATACAGAAACAGCACAAGAGACCAAGAGAGGGCCAAGAAGTTCCCTGGCCAAGTCACATGGCCCTTCCACCGTCCCTGCTATGTTGAGTCCCTGTTACTTGAGGAGGGCGGGGGTGTGCCAGGCAGGGTTGGGGAGTGAACCAACAACAGCCCCTTGAGATTCCAAAGGGGTTAGCAGCTCTCAGCCCTTCCTTCTCTGGGACTCTGGTGTTCCTGAAAGGTGACATGCTGGGAGCCTATGCTCGGAGGTCAACAGCACCCTCACACAGACACAGCAGCACCTCCCCACCCAGCTGCTTCTCAGGTCTCCTCTCTTCTGCCTTTGCCCTTTGGCAGGGCGGGGAGGGGGTCCTGTCACACCCTCCTCCCTCCTTTTCTTGCCTGCTTGTCCAGTTGTCACTGACACTCGGGAAACTCCTGAGCCTCCATTGTTAACCTGTAAAATGTATCAAAACACTTCCTCTCAGTGTAGTGAGTAACCAGATGAGGTAAGGGCGAGAAGTGTTTGGTACAGACGGACCACCTCTCTGTGAGGAGCAGAGTAAAGACAAACGAGCATTGGGGCGGTGGTGGCGCATACCTTTAATCCCAGAACTCAGGAGGAAGAGGCAGGCAGATGTCTGTGAGTTCAAGGCCGGCCTGGTCTACAAAGCTACACAGAGAAACCCTGTCTTGAAAAACAAAAAAACAAAAAAAGGACACAGAAATACCCAACCCAGAGTCACAGTTTTACTGGCCACCCACATTCAAATCTTTTTTTGTTTTTGTTTTGTTTTTCGAGACACAGCCTCTCATATAAGTCTGGGCTATCCTGGAACTCACTCTGTAGACCAGACTAGCTTGTCTCTGCCCACCAGGTGCTGGGCCCAGGCCCCCATTCAAATCTTGCTGCAACTGGAATGATGAACCCATAAGTTGGGATATGTTTACCTGCCCAGTGATTTGCCGTGAGGAGAAAATGAGATCATGACTGGGACTAGACACTAGTCAGGGTGGGAGAGCAGGGACATCTGCTCTCCAGACACTGCCTGAGTCAGCTGCTCCTCAGCAGAACCTCTCTCTCCCCTGCTCCTCTCCTTTGCTTCAGCAGGGTGGGAGACAGCAGGAACCGGAAGGAGAAGCTACAGATCCAGGCTGGGAGGCCAGAACACTCAGCCCACGCCCCCAAACAGCCTAGGGCTTGCCCCACAAGCTTCCATGGAACACCAAGCAAGGAGGGGGCCAGAACCTACACCACACACACCCCATCTTGCCTTCACTTTCCCAATTCCTGCAAGAGAGGGTGCTGACTGCAAGTGTCAGCTCAGGCCAGCAGGGGGCAGACTCGCCCACCAAATCGATACTCATCATTTCTTTTCTGGGTTGGACTCTGGAGGTTGCTCAAGAGCACAAAGAGGGTGTCTCAGGCTTAGGTTCCTGATACCACCAGGGAGCAGGCCCTTAGCAGCCCACTCACCTCACTAACCAGGAGGAGGTGCAGAGGGCAACAGAATCTCAGTTCAGCTTTCAGACAACCGATTTGCATCTCCCTCTCTAAAGGGGCATGTGACAGAGTGAACAAGGGGGCCTACACGAGACAGATCCTCAGCTTGGGTGGGATATGTAGGCAAAGGGAGTTACTACTCTGCAATGTCCTGCTGTTGGGCAATGATCCAGCTAGGGCTTTGGGTTGGCAGGTTGCTGTAATCAGGCTGTTTGGCCAGCAGGGGGCACTGTGCACCTTCATGTGATCATCCATGAACTGACAAAGAGCTATGCTCAGCTTGAGCACACACACACACACACACACACACACACACACACACACACACCTCTGGGGCTCCTAGCTGTGGCACTGACCTTCAGCTCTGCTTAGGGAGGCTGTCTTCCCCGTGTGTTCCCCTTCTCTCAGCATGGGCATGCTCATTCCAGGTGTACAGAGCCAGTCATGGTGGCCCCACCACCACCCTGGCCACTGCTCACTCTCAGAAAGCCAGGCATTCTCCTCGTACTGTGCAGCACACCTGCGTGAAGTCACACCCAAGCACACACAAGCCCTGTCAGCTCTCTGACACACGTCTTTGGCTGAAGATGGAATGGACAAAGAGCCCATGTTCTCTGGTTGAAGGTTCTTCCTCCATGGCAGTCTGCCCCTCCCTCCAGAAGCCACCAGTTTGCATCAGGGGGCCAGACAAGGTGCTGTGATAGAGGGAAAGGACTACAGCTAAATGTGGGGGTGGGGGTGGGGGCAGAAGGTGACTGTTCAGGTGGATGGACAGGAGAAAGGATTTGGGGGAGGATCCAATCGCAGCTCCTCTATGCTCAGCCCCCTCCTCCGACAAGAATGAGCTAGAACATCTATGTAACCTGGCAGCCTGCCAGTGTTTGGTCAGAGTCAGGGAGGTGACACAGAAGAGTCAGGGAGGTGACACAGATGCTGTCGTGAGCCCCTTCTTTTTGATGCTTCAGTTCTCTCTTGCTGGCCTGGCCTCCCCGGGCCTCAGAAGGTTTCATCAGAACAATACGACCAGGCAGCCAGGTGTGGGGCTGGGACAAAAAGCCTATGAGCATGAGTGAGCTCAAAGATTGGCACTAGAGTCCTGGACTGTTTGGGCCCAGGAAGGTGCTGGTTGGGGCAGGAAAAACAGGAACTGGGCAATGCCTGCCTGCCTGCCTGCCTGCCTGCCCTCAGGGTGTGAAAGACCTTGTCCCAGGCTGAGTAGGATCCAAGGAGGTCTGTCCTATATGATCCTGGGAATTAGTGTCCATTACTCTCCGCAACCAGAGCAGGGATGCAGGTGGCACTTGGCCCTGACCTGCCACAGCAGTCGAGACCCTTCTCTGTGTGGCTAATCTCCTTTGCTGTGCCCCAGAGGTGAGTGAGTGTGACATAATAGCATTTCTGACTAGAGGCACTTTCTGAGGGGTCTGAAGCTCCTCCCAACACATGGGGTCGTAAGAACAACACCCATTTAAAAGCAAGGTTCTGCCGGGCGTTGGTGGTGCATGCCTTTAATCCCAGCACTCGGGAGGCAGAGGCAGGCGGATCTCTGTGAGTTCGAGGCCAGCCTGGTCTCCAGAGCGAGTGCCAGGATAGGCTCCAAAGCTACACAGAGAAACCCTGTCTCAAAAAAAAAAAAAAAAAAGCAAGGTTCTGAGATAACAGAAGCCAAGCAGTTGGTCAAGGCACAGTCCACAAGGCAATATTCAACACGCTTCTTTTTGTTTTTAAAAGCTGTCCACACAGGCATCACTGCTATTAATACACATCCAAAATCAGCCTAGGTCAGAAATGGGGACTGGCCAGGCCCAACCTAGGAGAGGCCTTTGAGGTACGAGGAGGTACTCCTCAGTCACCCTCATTTGTTGTTCAAGCCTACCTTCTCAGTGTAGCTTGCTCTGATTATGCTGGGGTGGAACACCAGAGAAGGCCTCACAGGGGAACTGCATTTGAGAACTGTCTTGAAGGAGAGACAGGAGAAATGCCTCTATGACGTGGAGAGGGCTCAGTAGGGACATTGTAAGTGTTTGGCCCAGCTGTAGTACAGCCGGGGAGGGGAGAGGCTTGGGGAGGGAATCTCTCCCTGCATGTTGGACACTGAGGTAAAAGGGAGCCATTGGAGGATTGATGGACAGTGGGGTGATGTGACCGGTATGGCATTTTGGAAGGATCTCTGGCATAAGTGAAAGGCCACCTCTTGTTTAGAGCCATGAGCAGTTGCATAGATTGTGGGCTGCTGTTGAGCTCCCAGCTGGGAGGAAAGGGAATTGGGGTGGGGGAGAAGGCTTGCTGGTGGCCTGGCTTTTCAGGTAGGATGGAAGGTACAGGCTGTGTTGACCCACAATAGCAGGACGTCAGAGGGAACAAGGAGTTTTGCAGAGTGGGGAGGTTTGAAGAATGGGGGAGATGGACAGGAGGGTGGCTCAGAGAGTAGAAACACCGTGCCAAGCCTGATGACCCAAGTTCAATCCCTAGGACCCACAGGAGAGAACTGGCTCCTGGAAGTCATCCTCTGAATACTGTGTGTGCATATACTCATAGACACACAATAAAATGAAAATGTAAAAAATAATTTTTAAGAATGGGAGAGCATTAATCCCAGCCCTCAAGAGGCAGATGCAGGTGGATCTCTGTGAGTTCAAGGACAGCCTGGTCTGCAGAGTGAGTTCCAGGACAGCCAAGGCTACACAGAGAAACACTGTCTTGAAAAAAGGAACAAACAAACAAACAAAGGAAGAGAATCTTCTGGGGCCAGTGAAACAGCAGGAGGATTACTGAGCAGAGCTTCACTCCCAATGAGGCTGGGGGAGC